ACGACATCTTCGAAACATTTAGGTCATGTCGTTGAAGCAGAACCAATTTAAACTCCCAGTTCTGCCAAGTCATTCATTGTGTCACGAGTGAATTGGCGATCGATATTTTTTGAATTTCGGTTCTGAGAGCTGGTTATTAGAATGGTATATTGTTTGGCTTACAGGTGCTCTGCACTCGCGTCTTTTGTGTTTTTCGAATATTCTTGTAAATATGAGAGTCTTTGGAACATCTAATTAAATAGCTTTTTTTTTTAAATACATTTTACAGAAAGATACTTAGTTTACTCCCTTATGTAATGATTATAAAAGAATCCTCTTACTGTCAGAGAAATGTTATTATTAAAAGTGACTATGAAATATGTATAAGACTGAGCAAATATGTAAATATTTTTAGTTTTATCGTTCGAGAATCTGCTTCCTACTAAATGTTATACAAATTAGAAAATATTGTGAATATTTTCTAGAAGAATAAAAAGAGAATTACCTGAACTACTTTGTATTCTGTGTGAAATTAAAAATAATGAAAATAGTTATGTAAAATGACTGAAATTATCCAAATGATGATCCGAAAAAATGAGTTCTGAATTTTTTTATCTAGTTTTTTTAATTTTTGAAATCTATTTATAAAACTACATGAATAGTATGTGTGATCTCAATTATTAGCCCAAAATAGCTATTAGTCTCGAAACACGATTTTGCGTTGTTTCACTTCTCATTCGGTTCTGTTGCTATTCGTAAAAACGTATTATTCATTCCTAATTAATGTTTCTGTTGTTATTCAACAAATTCAATTATTTAAAAGCAATAGATGTATATCTTAAAAATACAATTTTTTAAAAATTTTAATCTGATTAATTTAAATAAAAATGCATTTAAATCCCCATACATCTTTTTAAAACAATAAATATTTGCATAAAATTAGATTACAATTTTTTTCCCTTTTTAAAGATATGGAAGCTATATAACATTCCCATGCTAGTTTAAATGTACATTCACCCAATATCCTATAAAATGTTTCGCTGCTCCATCTGGGCGATTCCTCTCAATAACACCTATTCATAAGCCATATTAAACCTTACAAGAGCCCTTTTGGACAATCGCTAAATCTGCACCCTTAAATTTTTTTTTGTTTTTTATATTAATAATTTTAATCTGCTGATAAATTTGACCAGACATTGAAAAATCTTATAAATAATGGAATGATATTAAATATTTAATATTTTAATGGCACGTATAAAAATGAAAGTTAGCGTAAGTTTTGAAAAAATTAAATCCTGAATGCGTCGCTGTTGTTAACCGTAATATGTAGTATCTGTATCCGTACATTGCATATGGTGTTTCGAAAGTCATAAGAAATTCTCTCTTCATTAATAAAGAAAACAATTAACTCAACCACTATATTTTGAATATCATACGATGAAGCATAGTTTACTTACCGACATGTTTTGAGGAGAAAAATTGAAAAGTGAAATTCTGAATTTAGATTTTTAAAACGTTTGGTTGAGATACTAACTGTTATAAGCTGCGGAAGGTTTATAAAGTTTTTTATTGCTAAATCTTATGATTATTTTAGCTTATTCAGTGCATATTAAACAATAGGTAAATAACCCCTCAAGCTGAAATTCTGTGGTGGGGGTCATTAAAGAAAGAAAATAAAAAAAAATAACATGAAACTATGAATGTTATACATCAAGCAATAAACCAAATGAACGAAACAGAGTCTTTTCGATTGTTCTAGATATGGTAAATGGAATATCTTTTACCAATTGTTTATAAAAGCAGAGAAATGTTTGTTAATAGCAATGTTCCTAAATACGTAATTTGCTTTGGTCGTCGCATTATTATGAAAAGACAATTTACCACTTAGAAAAGAAGTGTACGATCTTGATTTGTTTGTTTTAATTATGAAAAAGCATTCGAGGGCTATCTAAGGAAAGTCATGCCTTCGTGGAGGTTATTTTCAGGTAAACTGGCTCCTATACACATTACACATGACCTACCAGCGTTCAGCGACATTACCGCTCGACCGCTGTTTGGTGCGCATAATCTTCAACTCATTGTTATTTCGCCCAAACTCTGATTAGAGGACCTTAAAGTGAATATACAGGGTGAGCCAAAAGTCCGTTAACATTTGAAAATTCAATAATTCATTGAATAATGTAGGTAGAGAGGTTAAAAACTGGCTCACATGCTTGAAATGTCATAAGCTTTTATTGAAAGCCAAAAAAGGTTTTAAAACTGCCAACAGATGGCTTTTCATATGATAACAAAAGCAATAATTAGCATAATAATAGACTTTTAGCAAAGACTATGTTCTTTATAACAAATGTTCGGTCGTCATTCATCAACAATACGTATTGTCGAGGGACAATGTTGTGAACAGCATTCTGCAGCATATCTGTAGGTATAGCGAGAAACTGCCATCGGATGTTGTCTTTTAGCATCCCAAATAAGGTCGGACGATCATGGTAGACTTGCGATTTCAGGTAACCCTACAACCCATAATCATGCGGATTAAGATCTGGGGACCAATGAGGCCAAGCATGACTGAAGTGGCTACTCAACACGCAATCCTCACCAAACTATGAGTGCAAAAGGTCTTTAACACGTGTAGCAATATGTGATGGAGCGCCATCCTGCATAAAAGCCATATCTTCCAACAGGTGTTTATCAGCCAGATTAGGGATGATGCGATTCTGTAACATATAAGCTTACCTCGCACCCGTCACACTGACAGTCTGAATAGCAGAACAAGCATTTCTTTGAAGAAAAAGAGTGTGATCTTGATTGGTGTGATGAAACAACATCACGCCTCGACCAACACCCAGAGCCGAGGATAGAAAATTGACAAAGTCGTGAAGGGACTGATTCCATCTCTCCCTACAGCTCATTTCTACACGATTCTCATGCGTTGTCACTGACATTTTACTGCCTAGTGCAATATGTTGGCCTCTTTTATAATTTTTCTCTTAATAAAACCGCATGTCATTTCAAGCATCTGTGTCAATTTTTCACTCTCTACCTACATTATTCCTTAATTTATTGAATGTTAAATGTTACTTTTGGGCTACCTTGTATTTTCAGGCACTTACAGCGCATCTCTCAAATATCAAGGTTATATGTTAGAATTCACATTTATATCCTGTTATTTCCTTCATGTGGTCGAGTTCACAATAGATTGATTGATAACATATTTTGATGCAAAAGAAAAGCTTTTATTTTTAATCTCGGAGCCCCCTTATATATATATATATATATTTTAGGTTGCTTAAATCTGGAATAAAATTTATTCAAGAAAAACGGTTTATCGAAATGCATGTTAACTATTGTATTCAGCTACGTTATTCTTTCAGTTTCCAAGATGACACAGATTTTGAAACCTGCTTTTCTACATTCGTTACAAAGGTATTTTAAACATCTGTGTCCACAAAAACCTCATTATACTTTAACACCGACAAAAATTTGTTGTTCTTAACACTTCATTCCTATATTTTCTGTTTCTCTTGATTTCCTCTGCTTTTCGTTGACTTCGTATATAATGTTTATTTATATATAAATATATATATATATAAACATTATATACATATATATATAATGTTTATATGTATAAATATAGATATAAACATTTCTGTTCAGTTTGGATTTTTGTCTCATGAGGACATCAAAGTTGTCTAGTATAATTGGCAAACATATTTCGCTTCAATTCTAATATGAATGTATGTTTGAGGCACATTAAAAATGCAAGGGAAAACTACCATCCTAGAAGATATATTAGAAAGGTTTCTACTAAATGATAATAAAGTGTGATTTTATTCGGAATTATTTGGAAAAATTCCAGTTGTGATAAATCATCATTTCAAGATTCCAATATTTTATATTCTATTCTCGATATTTTGATGCTAAAAACATCTAAATAAACGCATGAATACAATAAAGTAGAGGAAAATTGACTTTTTTCTGAACATCCTTTTTCATAAATGAATTTTCTCGTAAAATAAAATAACATTAATAGATCTTATAATATTGATTAAAAAAAAAAAAAAAAAAAAAAACTTACCGCCCCTAAATTTCGAGTGATTATTATTCGGTTGCAGTTATCAACTGCGTTCCCCAAATGGATGGATTTACGTAACAATAAATGTTACTTATAATTTTAGTCTAGTATTTCTTGAATTTTCCAGAATTGCTTATTTTTGAGAGGTAACCTTTTCCAGGGGGCTATATTCGTTTTTTACATACAAAGTGGGACATATATGTCCTGCACTTTCACTACTTTAAATGTGTCTCAAGAAATTTCAGTAAACTATGGAGATTTAAAATTTACTCCTTACTATGGATTAGGAAGTGCAAGACCCTGTCGATTTGTTTATCTGTTCCTTTCATTTAAAATAAGCAACTAAATGGCCATAATACGTTTGAAATTGGCTCCTATAGCCCACGCGAAAAGTTTCCTCGCTGATTACGTAGAGTTTAACCGAAATCGGTGATCTTAGTTTCCTTAATGGAATTTAGAATGCGAGTGAAAGACGAAAATTCAAGAAAAATGTCTGATGCGCTCTAAACCCAAGTTATTTACAAATTTTTATTACATCATAAAAAAGAGAAAAATGAAAAAGAAAATGATAAAAATGTAGTAAATGTTCAAAAATGTACAGCTGATTATTCGTAAAATGTTTAAGAATGCCCCTTTTTTACCTTCGCAATGAGCAATAATATTGAAGGCCAAAAAATAAATTGTTTTATGTGACATAAATTAGTTTAAAGGATTTAAACACGATATGTTTTAAACAACTGAAAAATGTGCTTGCAAAGTTTTTAGGTTAATTCATTAGAGCAGAAATTTATAGGTCTGTATAAAATGGGGAAAAACTTAAAAATAGTTTGAAAGCCAAGGATTTAGTTTTTAATGAAACAGCAAGCCTTTCCTTTCATTTTTCACAACATCTCGGTTTAATTCAAAGACAGAAATACATTTTTAAATATAATTGAACTATGATTACCATCGTTTTTCCATCGTAGCTGAATCTCATTGCTGATCCATCCGGGTATTTGATTTCTGCCAAGTGACTCATACGATCATACCCAAAGCTTTCAGATAAGGGTCCTTGCTGCCAACCAGACAAACGTCCCAGTCTGTCATACATTACATTGAGAGGCAACCTGGTTTCTGTTGGTAACCACTGGATAGGTCTAGTAAAGCTGTCGTACTGGATGACCAAAAACGGCCTGCGCGAGCTATTGTACAGTATTTCTCTTGCTGCTACCCAGTCATATTCCATAGTTATATACTGAATATCGTTGGCCTGTAAAAAATATTAAACGTCATCAAATAAATTCGATAAATTTACTTAGCATCAATGTGATTTTCATTTTATAATTATTACATACTACATGTGAGTTAGATATTATGAAAGACACCTAATATGCACAAACAGTAAACAGGTATCATCTCTCCATACGATTTCTCTAAGGCAAAACACTAATTGATATAGGTTACATTATATTATGGTACTTAGTATTGCATTCTCACTATTCATTATAAATATACAATTTCGTATTTAAATCTGCATATGAGATATTTCATTCTGGAAACTGAACTTTGATACTGAATGTGAACACCCTCTTCATTTGATGTCCCTTTTTCCCCATCTCAGAAACATATGCCATTATTTCCGATTAGGGCAGATTCAAAAACAAAATGCTTAATTATGATTAAGACAGGAAATTTAACAAGGCCTGTATTTCTGCGATTATTTTCATGAATCTTGGGAGAATTTGCTTGCGAATATCAGATGTTTTCGAGAATAAATTCCCATAAAAAATTTCTATTACAGTTGTTAAATTCTTTTTAATGTTTAAATTATATTTTTATTAATTTCATCTAGAAATTTCGCAAGAATACCTCACAAACAAATCTTATTCAAAAATACAAATTAGAAGACTAAACTCTAAAATAACGTAAGTTTTGATGGACTTCTAGGACGTTAAAAGTAATCATTGATCATTGTGTGAAATTACATGAAATCGCTGTTTGTTACTTGTCATTTTCGACAAGCATTTTCGATGCTGAATTATCTTGGAAACTAATGAAACTCTTTAATAAAAAAATCTTCGTATGTACACTCTCCACATAAATGGCCTCTCCACATAAATGGTGATTTATGTTTATTATGTTTTATGTGATTTATCTTAAAGCCCTATCCACATAAATGATGATTTAAAATGCAGATAATGAAAAGGTTTTCCAGAATTTGATTGTTTTTAAATGCAAATTTAAATTAAAAGTTTATATGATCTTTACATACAAATTATTTGAGGTATTGTTTTGTTTTTTTGTATACATCTCTCTCCTTACAAAATGTTTATGTGAATTCTCGATCGCGAGATTTTTCGCAAAATTGTGTTTCCCAAAGTGTTGGGATTGTTGTAACCCAGGCTGTGAAAGTTTCACTAATTTTCAGCAATAAATTACCGTCTAATTTATGGTAATTAGTTAACCCCAGTGTATAAAAAGTAAGGTTATTTAAAATTTTATTCATTCTCTTAGAAAACAAGTTTAGTTTTCATATTCTGCCTATTTAATGACGTGTGTTGCCAGATACGAAAGTCAAAGTTTATTGTATGGCAATTTTTCGATAGCAATAATAGTTAAAAAAATAAGAAAAGTAAAGAAATACTTTAATGAATTTTAGAGGGTTCAAGTAATTGCTGCTTATTTCCTTAGGGTTCACAAAAGAGAAATATTTAACCTCCCAGAACTTAATGAGATTCAGATAGAAAAAAATTAATGAAATTCGAGTAGAAAAGAATCAGTAAGATTTAAATTGTTATAGGTTTAAGTAGATACCGAATTAAATTATTTTAGATAGGTTAAAATAGGGAACTAAATTTGAAAATATATTTTTTCGTATTTTTCCTAAGAATTCTTTCTTCAGTTGCTAAAAATTTGATTTTTTTTCTCTCTCCTGCAGCCTGAAAGTGGTTCTTATTGGCTGCAAATTTATTTCCATTGAGTATGATACAGTTTTTTATTGTGTTCTAGAGTTAATGTTAATGGCAATACCAGAATACTTAAAACTGTATAAGATATATTTTTCTTAGTCGCGTTTGGTAGTTCCTAATACTGTGAAACAAAGATAAATTAAATTTAGATGGTTAAATATGTGGAATTTTCTTTAAACCTGAAAGCCTGCCTCAAAGACCCTAAGAAACTATGCTTACTTTATAGTGGAGCATTCATGAAGATATGCAGCTTTTATTATACATATTAATATTAGACGCTTTACCATGTAACATTATATTGATAAAAATTTCAAGATAATGTGGCGTAAATATTGATGTCACGCATACAATCACTTTACTCAGAATAAAAATAATTTTCATCTATTTGCTAATCAAGTTACTTAGAATGATAATTTTATCAGAAAAATTACTTAAAAATCTTTAAAAATGGGCTTCGTGACTTCCAAATTTAGATCAAACTGATCACAATGAGCTATAATATACAGCGACTAACGTTATTAGAGTCCTGTTATGTTAATTATAACGCCTTGTTATGTTAATTACAGAATGCTACTACAACGTAATAGATAATTAATAATAACGTCGTAGTAGAACAACGACTGGTTTACATATACTCAATAACTATCACTGCCCAGACGCAAAATTGTAATAAAAATGTTTCAGAGCTTGATTTAAAATTATAAATGTATATTTAATAAAAGTTCTCTTTAAAATGATTTTTATTACGTCTCAGAATCTTATAAGGTAAGCTATTTTATGAATTTTGTCTGCTTTAGCTGCATTCCAGCCCATGCCTTGTTTTCTTGATATTTCATATCACTTTAGGCTATTTTAGACCATCTTCTTTTCATAAAGATTAATTCTTAAATTATACGAGATTCTGAAGTTTATATCATCCATTGACAAAAATTATGTTCATCGCTAAGGCTAAACATTTTTGTGTTTTTTAATTGAGCCCTGCAAACAAAACGTGAAAAATTCATTAATGTTTTTTTAAAATATTATTCAGATATTACTTTCTTGACCAATCTTTTCCGCTATAAAACAACATTCATCAAATAATTTTCTGTAGAAAAATGTATGCCATAACTTAATAACGTGGGGCTAGTAACAATTTATTTTATGGTTATTTATATAAATTCATGCCGAAATCCGAGGGTAAGCAGAAAAGGCCGTTTAAATAGATTTTAGTCGATATTGTTTGGTACCTTTTAAGGTAAATGATTCACTGTTGTTCCTTATAACGGAATTCTTGTTTTTAAAGTAAATATTATCAATAAAATGTTTAAGTGTGTCATTGTATTTTAGTTCATCGTTTATTCCAATAAAAAACCTGAAAGACATATTTCTTATGCTTAGAAGATTTTGAACGCCATGTCTTCCTGCAAGAAAAAGTATTTCCTTGGCCGTAAATAGTGAGATATTAAATCTCAGTCTCATATTTCAAAGTGTTTCTTGCAAACGTTGTACTTTAGAAAGGATCTTGTGGCACAAGTTTTTAAATATAATTGCTTAACACAGATGTATAACAAAATAAATCGAATGGAATTTTAAAGTAAATTGAAAAGTAATTCCATACAAATTGATTTTTTAAAAAAAAATATACGTTTTTCATCCTCATTTGTAAACCCTTATCTTTGCAGTCTTTATAAAATACTTTTAACTTTCTGCTGTTATCTTATTATTTCTCAAACCATTCCAGCCAGTCTAAAAATGACATTTAAAATGCAGTCTAATTATACTTTTTACTATATTTTAATTAAGAGAACAAATTAGTCCCAGCTCTAGTTTAAAAGTTATCCCGAGATAGCTAAAAATATTTGTTTCATAAAAGTTCCCAAGCAAGCGTAATCCTCACTCAAAACATGATGTAATCTCCTTAATTTGAAATTTCACAGAGAATTCTTTCTTAGAAAAAGATTATAATTTTTTCTATCAGTTGAAATTACTTAAGAATTAAGATTGCAGAAGATTGCCGAAAAATATCATTAATATATGATATTTAGCGATGATATAGTGGTGCCCTTACACCAGGGTACCTGGGTTCGGAAACCTTATTCTTTGTAGAACATGTGACATTTCGAATAGAAGGAGACAAGAATATTTGAGATATAAAAGTTAAATTAAATACAGTGACTTAAAACAAGATACGAGTTTATAATTAATATATACACATTTATTACAATTAATATATACATATTTATTACAATTAATATATACATATTATACATTGGGTATTAGTAGTAACGGAAAATCTAAGAATATGGGTAATGTCTGATAGTGAATCACTCGATGCCATAAGAAAAATATAGACCTCGAAAATGCTCCGCAAATGCTCCATGGGCCGTACGAACTAGTGAGTAAAATGTCTGTAAGGAAGAGTGAGTGGGAATCCAACTGTGCATTTACAAATTTACAAAGTAAAGTTACTTATAGTTATTAGGAATACATAGTAATAAAATAGTAAGATATTTTATAAACAAAAGAAATCAAGGTTCTATGATATTTATTTGGCATAGTAATTTTACCCTTTTCCCTCTTTCTCTCGCGCGAATCTAAAGGAAACTTTAAATGAGATTTCAGATCTTAAAATTAAAGCTTGTGCACAGTCTGTTAATAATTTGTTAGAATGCTACAAAATGTTAAATATCCTTACAGCTAAATGTAAATGAATTTTAGACTTACCATTAGTACTCTTTCGACGGCTGATATACTTCTTTCTACACGGGACCTTTCTTTCCTGTTGTATTTAACATCGTATCTCCATTCAACAACATTGGCTGCTTCCATACCAACGTATGTTGTCTGTCGTACCGGTAATGGGAACATTCCGGCCTGTACAGGCAGTATTTCTTGCAGAACGTAGTGAGATGCTGGTTCCCAGACCAGTCCAACTTGCCACGGTGTTTCAACTTCAATGGCTCCATCTTGATGCAAAGTGGCCTGTATAGGAACTCCGCCTTAAGGGAATTAGAATATTTAAGAATTTGTTAAAATAGAATATTTAACAACTTCTTAAAAGCAAATAAAGAATACAAATATATAGAACTTTCTACGTTATTCTGTAATAAATAGTACTTATTTTATAAGGTATTTCTCCCGCCTTCTTAGTGTGCCTTCGTGGTGTGGTGCTCTGCACGATGGGCGCATATTCCAGAGGTCTCTGGTTGGATTCCCGCCGAAAGCTTTGCTAATATTTTTCATCTTGCCTGCTTCCAAAAATACCTAATGTCTCTACAGTTGTGCCCGAACTAAAAGGGTGGTGGATGAGGATTCTCCACACCCAGAATTTGGCGACTGGGTCCCCTAAAACCCCAGTCGCCCTTTAAAGGAGGAGGGAATATATAAGGTATTTCTACCGCCTTCTTAGTCTGCCTTCGTGGTGTGGTGGTCTGCACGCTGGGCGTGTATTCCAGAGGTCCGTGGTTCGAATCCCGGCGAAGGCGTTGCTCATCTTTTTCATCTTGCCTGCTTCCAAAAGTACCTAATGTCTCTACAAACTGAGCACCTTCTCAAAAAACCGTGGGCCATCAAAGGTAAAGTCGCTGAGCTGGTAGTTCGGTTCGAGGTTTGAATTTCGGAGAACGGACTGAATGCATTGGCGTTTTTGGAATTTTCCGAAGTGTAACGTGTATACGAGCTAATTTCCCTTAGAAAGTCGTCCATGAAGGCATCCGTTCCCATAAGCAGATATCCCTCGATTGCTTTGCCATAGTCCAATACATAAACCAATAATAATCTAAAGAAAGCACAAGTTGTAAGCAAAAATATTAGAAAAAGCCAGAAGACATCCACTGGCAGTGTTGATTACAAGTGTGCAGAAGTATAAGAGAACAGCATTGCTAGTAGTGTTGCCGAATCTCTTTTCCTAATTTACATTTTGGTTCGCTATGCAAAACCCACTTAATTTACATTTCTGGTGGAGCTGACGAAATGGAAAGAAGCGTAAGATAGATTCAACGTGAAAATGAAAGAATTAAATAAACATTATAGACACATCCGAAAAAAAATTAAATTTATACATGCAGAGTTCTATTTTATTTCTTTTCGTTACCAATAAGCTCATCTGAATTTAGCTAAATAAACTAAACTCAACTTGAGTTTATTCTAGATGTTTTGTATAGAATTCTAAATTTATGAATTTGTAAAATGATTACAATTTATACCCCAAATGGTTTTTCCAATATTCAAATTTGAAATCTAGCCAAACTAATCGCATGTTTTACTTTAGAGGTATTACTGCATACATTCATTGAAAATGTTAAACAGAAAAAAAAATTTAAATATCTCAAATAAAATGAATAAGCTTGCTTCTAAGATCTAAATAGTTTACATAAGCATTGTAAGAAATCAAATGCAGTCCCTATGTATCCTGTTGTGATTTAAAGTTGTACATCATTTCGGTTATTTTAAAGTCCCGAATTCGACACAACAAACACGACTAAGTTTTCAATGGTTCTCCGTTTTCAAACTTTTCTCATTGCCACAGAAATGACATTTAAAACTTAAATAGAAAACAAAAACTCTGTTTTATTGCAAACTACATACATTTTCTAGCTAAGCCATTATATATATATATGGACCTTAAGAGATAAATGTGTTTAAAATAACTTATTTCTATTTAATTTAACACTAAACCAAAACATTTTATATTGTCTCCGTAAGTGAAAAGTCTAGTTAGTAAAATGCCATCATGATTTGACTAATTGAATACGAAACGTTCCTTGCAATCACGTGCTAAACTGGCGGAGTTATTCGAGAAACGAATTTATGTATTATATTTGTCTAAAATATCTTTTGTACACTTATATGTAAGCAATATATACGAGCATGTCATCAGACTTGATACTGCAAAATAAAAGTTACTTGTTTTGGTGATATATTATTACGAATTACGTAAAATAGCCTCCAATATTAACGTTGTAACTGAATCCGTAAAATTATTAATACCTAATATCTCCGAAAAATTTGAACATAATGATATAAAACATCTTGTTGTCAATTATTAAAGAATTATGAATATTTTCTTTAGTGCACATTTTACTTAAGTAGAACTATATAAAATGCTAGAATTAGTATTCATAGAGTGCTTTACACTCAATGCGGACGTATTTTCTTAAAAATATTTACCTTATTTTCAGAAATTTGAAAGTGTTGGTTTACGATTAATAATTGAAGGAAATAAAGCTTCTATATTTTTATGGTAATTCCCGCTAACATATATTATATATAATATAATTATTAATACAGATCATCCCCTAGGAGAGTTATGAAATTCAAAGAAAAATAAACTACTGCAATTATAAAACTTTAAAATTATAAAGGATGACCCTACTGGAGTTCAAAATACCGTAAAATAACTTTGTAAACTGAAACAATAAAACATGTAGAGAACTAAACTCTAAAATAAAAAATAAAAACAATAAAAATAATCAATCTTGATTTTATGGAGAAAGGCTAGCTTTTTAATGAGAATTAGAACTACTCCATAAAACCACTAATAATTATTGAACTCTGATCGTGTTTCTTCCCTCGCATGTTTGAATGAAATTCGATCTAATTTAATCTAAAGAAGGAATACGATTCATTTAAACCAATCAAATGGAATTCCACAAGAAAAATCATACAGAAGTCATTTTATGAATAATCATAGAGAAGGGATTTTAGAATTTAAAATTTCTAAGTGCATGTTAGCGTAAGAAGGAATGAGAAATATTTTCATCTCTCTGTTTCATATTTTTGCATTAATTAATAAATTTTAGTGAAAAGGCAAGAAATAAACTTAAGCATTCAAAAGTTGAAAATGCGTATAAAATTAATGCAACGTATAACAGTTACTAAACTTGAGCAGTAAACTATTAAAGGTCATTATTTAATATCTGTTATAAAGCTGGATTAGCAGCTTATAAAGCTGGAAACGCTTTTTTTCCGCTATGATGGTAGCTTCATTAGGACTTTTGTAGCAGGAGGCATGAAAAATGAACAACTTCCTCGCCGAGACTCGAACCTGGACCTCTAGAATACGCGCCGAGTGTGCTACAGGTTACATCAAGAAGGCATGCAGAAAGGAGGGGTTGTTTGTTTTCGGTTTGATGTTTTCGGCTGTTTCTCAGCTACACAATATTCAAGTTAATATGGTCAAAAACTAAATTAAAAAAATTTAAACATATTCTAAAAAATTGCTTTCATGTTGGCTCTCTTCCTAGAAGAGTTCTGATGAAGTATGTAACATCTCGTTTTTGTTTATTTCTTGAATTTGATTGATTTGTTATATTCTTATTATGTTTTAATTTTTTCTCCTTTTTCTTTTTACTCTGACGTATTAAATTCTGGCTGTTCCGGAAAGATATAAAAATTCTTCTTATATTATTATTTCTATTAGATCTATTTCAACTTTTAAGGCGTTTTTAGTTCAAGGTCTGATTTTTAGTTCAAGGTCTGATTTTGAACTTACTCCATTTTAAAAATTTTAGATGTAACATAGTGCTCTTTTATAAGTATTTTATGTCATTGTCTTTGAAGTTCGATCTATAAGCATCTCACTTTTATTATTCTGAAAAAGGTTCTAGAGATTGTAAATTGTTTTCGAAGCAGGTAGCATAAAACATCAGATATTTACTCGCCGATTCGAACCACAGATCTTCTGCTGTTAGTTGGATGTGTATACTGTTTATACCAAAAAAGGTTCATTAGGCAGTTGGATAATTCCTTACGAACTAAGCATAATTTAATAAATGAAAACAGTAACTCTGATTGTAGTACCTAGTGCACTTGTTAGTAAACTAAATGAAGTAACCTCTAAATCATAGAAAAATTCAATTTAAAGAAACAAAGTCCGTAATATTCACTAACTCAATATTCAAAGAAATTTTTCATTTGGACTCATTGACTAACTGAATCCACAAGCTCCACAAAAGCCTCCTTCTGAAATAAACTTTAATTTCATTTCCGAAACATATTTTTATGGTAATTCCCGCTAATTCCCATCTCATGTTTTCATCTCACTGAAAAAAAATCTGATAATCACTTAAGGCTTTTATTTTAGAAATTTAGCATATCGCAAATGAGAAACCTAACAAATAATCTCCAAAACTTTATGTATCACATAGCTTGGGAGATTTCATCATCCTCAACTCTAATTACTTTATCTCATTCAAAATGCTTTAATTCTGAATACTGCTAACTCCCAGTAATTTTACATTAACCTGCTGAGACACAAAGCAGAACGCTGCACATCGCGTGCCCTAGAGAACAATGCACAAAGAGAAAACTATCTTATTATTATAACCTAATTTACTAGGATCTAATAATTAGCCTTAAGAAAACAAGAAAATACATTTTTTTTTCTTTCAAAACTACATCTACTACGTCATTAGGAACGAACCTGAAAACCCTTATTAAATGAAAAAACATGATCGTAATTGAAAAAAATAATAAAATAAGGAAATTAAATGAATGTATCATTAAACTAAGTAAAACTAATGGCTTTCTTTAATGTACTCATTTTTTTTTATTTTTGCGCAATGCTGCGAAAGCCCAAGGCATTGCTTTTAAAGATTGTTGTCTTTAATGGTACCCAAAGGAAATCAAAGCAACGTTTCTCTTATAATAAACTTAAATTGTCTTATTCAAGAGTTGTCAATTGACGGAAAGTGCTAAATGACAAGTGACATTTTGGTGGTACTTACCCGAATGAAGTAGCAGTATATCATTGGAGGTTGTTGCACATTTATCAGACAGTGGCTTTCGTTTTCTTTAATGGTTTAACTCGATTTGCCTAAGTATAAAACAAGCTAATGAACTTCAGCTTATCTTTAGGACCACTTCTTTGCTGAAATGGATGATGCCTGACAGTTCCGAATATGGAAATGGATGAACTGGGAAGCCAGGAAGTGGCTTATTTTTGAAAATTTGACAGAATAAAGATCGCAGACTAAATTACGAAGTTAATTTGATTAGT